CCTGGACCAATTAGTACTTTTGAATGGGTTGTAATGCCATTTGTCCTAAAGAATGATGGGGCCACTTATCAAAGGGCAATGAATTCAATCTTTTCTGATATGATTGGCCGATTTATGGAAGTCTACATAGATGATGTGGTTGTTAAATCATCAGCCAAAAAAAGCATTTGGAACACTTGAAAAAGGCCTTTGAAAGGATAAGAATCTATAAATTGAAGATGAACCTGTTGAAATATGCTTTTGGGGTCTCAGCCGGGAATTTCTTGGGATTTTGGTACACCAACGAGGCATAGAAGTTTATCAGAATAATGACAAAGCTATTATGAATGCTATGGCCCCAACCAGTAAAAAACAAGTGCAAAGGTTTTTCAGCCAGGTAAGTTTTCTTAGAAGATTTATTACTAACCATGCTGGCCAAGAACATGCTTTTTCTCATTTATTGAAATTGAAGTCATAAGAAAATTTTCATTGGGATGAATCCCATCAGAAGGCCTTTGATAAAATAAAAGAGAATTTGGCAAACCCCTTGGTGGTGATGCCTCTTAGGAAGAAATGATCATTGAAGCTTTATTTATTGGCAGCGGAAGAATCAATTGGTAGCATGACAAGCTATTTACTATTTAAGCAGAGTACTAACTGATGTTGAATGCAAATATTTTTTAATTGAGAAACTTTGTTTATCTTTGTATTATTCAACATTGAAATTAAGAATATATATGCTTCCAGTTAATGTTTATATTCTTTGTCAAACTAATGTGATTAAATATATGTTATCAAGACCATTGATCACTGGCCGAATTGGTAAGTGGGCATTGGCCTTGATGGAATTTAATTTTATCTTTTTTTCCACAAAAATCGGTTAAAGGAAGGGTTCTAGCTGATTTCTTGGCCGCTCATCCTTCAACTGATATTGATCCACAGGTTTATGATGAATTAGAGTCATTAGTCATATTCCTAACTCCTTGGATATTGATGTTCGATGGATCAAGGACGGCCGATGGAGCAGGAACATGTATTGTTATCATCTCACCAGCTAGAAGAAAGACTTCATTTTCATTTTTCTTAGATTTCAAATGTTCAAATAATCAGGCCGAATATGAAGCACTTATAATCGGCCTGGAGATTTTAATTGAAATGGCTGTTGGAGATGTAAAAATTTTGGGAGATTCAAATCTGGTACTTAGTCAAATCACTAAAGATTTCAAATGCTTAAGTTGGCAATTAAGGTCGTTTTATTCTCTAATTACTTCATTGATTAATTAATTTGATAACATTCAACTTAAATTCTGGCCGAGAGGACAGAATAAGGAGGCCAATAATAACATGGCCCAAGCAGCCTCCGGAATCAGAGTACCAGCTAAAGTAAAAGATCAATTGATAGAGATAACACAAAAATCTTTGCCATCAGCAGAACTAAGAAATACTATGTTGGATGATTTTAGGTAATTGATATAGAAGATCTGGCTTATGATGATTAGAGGATACCATTCATAATGTTTCTCTGAAATCTAAACATCAAGGCTGATAAAAGTATCAAGAGAAGAGTAATCAATTTTTTACTCCTTGATGGGGATCTATATAGAAAATTCCTTGAAAATGGACTCTTACTTCAATGTATAAGTAAGGAAGAGTCACTTCAAAATATGGCCGAGGTGCATGAAGGCAGTTGTGGAGCCCATCAAGTTGGGATCAAAATGAGATGGCTTATTCGAAGGTATGGATACTAATGGCCAAAGATGAGAAAGGATTGCATAGATTATACAAAAGGTTGTCAGGCCTGTCAAAAACATGGGCCAATTCAGAATGTCCCAACAAAAGAATTACAACCCATCATCAAATTATGGCTGTTTAGAGGATGGGGCCTTGACCTTATTGGTAAAGTTAATCCACCATCAAGCGAAGGCCATCACTGGGTGATTGTTGCCATGGATTATTTTATTAAATGGGTTGATGCCAAAGCTTGTAAAACGGTTGATCAACAAATAGTGATTAACTTTGTTAGACTAAGAGGGGGGTGAATTGGTCTAATTAAACTTTTTCTTCAATGAAAGCAACACAAGTTAAACACTAATTAAGCACATAACACAAGGTATACAAGGAAACCCCTTCGATTTGACATTCATATAACCCACTTCGGTTTAATGATCCTCACCCTAGTTTTTTTTATGCAAATATATGTTGTAGGGTTTCGAAATTGCAAAAGGGAAGGGGCAAATTACAAATTTGGAGTCCTCTTGTGGTCTGATTCTAAATCGGTGTGGGAAATATAGGTTTGAGATATCACGAGTTTGACTTGTTATGTGCTTGTCAAAAAACTCTGTTATGTGCTTGTTAGACTATGAAATCACTTTGAAAGAATTTGAATCTTGGGTTCTATTTCTATTTTGTTTGTTGTATTGTGTTCAATTTAGGAAAAAAGCCACATTTGCAGAAGCGATTCTTTGTTGCTTTGAAGAGATTCTCGGGCTTGGAGAAGGCTATCAGAATCAGGAGGTACACTATTGTGGTGGAACTTTATAAACCCTTATTTAATATATATATATATATATATGTTCTTTTTATATTAGCATCTATTTCATGGCTTTGTATTCATTTATATTGAGGATGCCAGTACCTTAAGCTTTCAATTTTTCCCAATTAATGTTAATCCAATTACAGAGTTCTACAATTTATGTCTACCACCAACTTTATATGATATTAAAAAATTAGTGATTTATGGATGAATTCGACAATTAACTAATTTAGTAGATGTAATGGATTTTTATGTCATTTTATGCTTAATGGCATCCCAAGCTTCTTCAACTTGTAGCCATAAGTACCATATCCAGTCTATGTGAGTCATTTTCAGGTTCCTTGGTGTTATCAATTGTTTTCAATTAAAAATTTGCAATTTATGGAGTTCAAATTATTTCCCTAGAGAAGTTTTTGATGCTCTATTTGTTTTGTTGCTCATGTTCCATAGTTTTTTATAATCTCCCTTTTAGCGGCTTCCACCTTATTTCTTGTTGTATATTTACAGAAACTTCATACTAATACGCTAAACAAAAACAAGCCACAAATTTCTATCAAGCGATGGAAAAAACCAAAGTCTCACATTAAAGATCCATGTGAATTGTGGTTTAGGTTATGATGATCAACTAGTTTTAAATTGTTCAATGTAGCTAAAAGATCATGGATTGTTTTTGGGATATTCAGAAATGGCCAAAGATATATATGTCAGAAGCTAACTCTAGTAACTTAGGAGTGGAAGAAACCAACTAGTAAATATTAGCAGCAACCACTCACTCCCTAAAATCAGAAGATTGCGAGTTTGTTTATTGATGCACCTTTTATCTGTTATTCATACACGATGAGTTCTGGCATAAATTAATGAAGACCTGCAAATGGTCAGTCCAGCAAAAGAGTTGCTAGTGGATACTTCTAGTAGACACAGTGTATGGACCTAGTTTCATCATTTCTTACAAGCAAAGTTGTTGTAAGGTAATGCATACCATGAAAACTGGAGTACATATTGTTTGAAGGAAAATGATTTAGTCCGTCTTGAATCAGTTATCCAGATATTTTTCTTTCTCTTTAACAATTTGCACAATTTTTTTTTTCCCCAACAATTAAGAAAATGACACTTCATTTTCCATTGTGTTCGATTATATGAAAGTTTTTCTTTAATTATTAAGTTACCATGACTAGAAAAATGTAAAAAGTTCACAAGCTGGTTCAAAAAAGTTAAAAAAAGGTTAAGCTAATAAGATGTCTCACCTTTGAGATTAAACAAATATGAATACGAAGAAGAAGACTCTAAAACTAATGCAATTATGTGCTCATAACGTTGCCCCAGAACACGTGCACAAACTGAACATTTGCATTTTTTGAGAAGGTACAAAAGCAAAAATAAGATAATGATAAAAGGAAATTTCAATGGTATCATCTCCCTTCATCTACATTCATGAAAGTAACACAAGCAAAAGATTAATACATGTATATATATATATATATATATATATATATATATATATAATTAAGATTAATATATTTTAATCCAAAAATATGTGTTAAAGAGTGTAAAATAAAATAAAATAGAAGAAGAAAGAAATACGAGGATAAATTTCTAGTTTTTAGTTGGAATTTGTAATTGTCTAAATTTTGAATAGGGAGAAAGAATCACATCTCCTATTGAGTCGTTAATCATGTACAACTAATATACATACAGATTTGTGTAAAAGGAAGAGAAAAAAAATAAGCTAGAGAATTCTAGTGTGATACGCATGTATAAAAAAGTCAAAGCTAAATACAATGTAAGAAATCTTGCTGATTATGTGCTTGCCAAATTATATGCTAATATTGCTGATTGTGTGCGCTGATTATGTGCTTGCCAAATTATGCGTGTTGATTGTGTGCGCTGATTATGTGCTTGCCAAATTATGCACTAATAGTAATGAAATGTGGAATCTTGTATATTTCTAGCAATGATTTTTTTGTACCTGTCCCATGAAAAGATGAAGTGAACTTACATAAAGAGAGTGACAATGAATAGCAAAAGAGAAGAATAAGATAGAGTTTTATGGTCTTTAAAAAATTCAAATAAAAAAAGATTTACCTTGTATAGTTGTATGCCTCAGAAGTCGTTTAATATAAACATATGGGATGCAAGCGATTTTTGGCCAATCATCCCCTATTTCTTTCAGGCATCTATCATATTACACATCGGCACATGATGTAATTCTGAGGAGTTATAATGTAGTTAGCTGACGAATCCCAATGGGCAGTGATGTCAATTTCTGACAGGAAGTTATTCAAGTGATATGAGGTTGCCTATCCACTTTGGCATAGAAACTGCATAATAAAACTGTAAAAATGTTTCACTTCATTTAGTTTGCATCTTAGAAATTTACCTTTCCATCTTTCATTAATGAAGGTGACATTATATAGTAAGTTGCTTATCATTTAAAAAAATATATATATATAAGAAATGTATTTCTCTTTAAGTATGGTTCTGTGCTTTATTAATTTGCATCTTTGATTTGGTTGACCAAATTAATTGTTATATTTGAGCATTTACTTTTTTTTTTTTTGGTTTTATGTTTAATATTTAATGTGATCTATTAAGTTATATTACTAGTCTTTATTTATTGACTTCCTTCAGGTTTTTAGCCTCTAATTATTGAATTTTTTATTCAATGGAATTATGTAAATATGAAATGATGACTCAGAATATATTCTGCATATGCTTATTTATTTTGATTTAATTTCACTTGATTCTTCATATTAGCTTGTAAACTAAATTATGGACACCTCCGAGGAACCAATGCGTAGAGTTTTAAGGTCCCGCAGGGCTGAAACTGAGCGACCATCTACAAGTTCACCACCTACACAATCGAGTGGATCAGGTGATAATAGGAATTCAACAAATGAAATAATGGAAGGTGATGGTAGTAATGAGCAGATGGGGCCACAACCAAGAGGAGGTAATAATGCTTCATCATTGATTAACCAAAAACTCTTTTGTAAAATGTCTACATTTTAATTAAGATGATAAATTTGTTTTTCAGGTCCGATTCGAAAAGGGCGTGGAAGAGCAAAAAATGAAGCCTTGCACAAAATTAAGGAAAACAATTGTCCGGTTCCAGTAGAGTTTGGAGAAGGTTATATTAAACCTGTTGGTTTAAATAACAAATTATGGACGGCTGAGGTTGGCATTAATACACGAGATACCGAAGCCCTTCTAAAGTATAAAACATGGAGGGATGTTCCAGATTTTGAGAAAGAGGACTGCTATGACCATTTGAAGGTAATGATAACCATCATTTAATGTTTGTTTTGTTCAAAATAAATCAGAGGTTACTAGTCCAATTGGATACAAATTGTAGCTTACATTAATTTTATATTATAAAGGAGGTCTTTGGAGTGGATGCATATGCGAATGACACTGATTTTAAGCGAGTAAATAGGGGAATTTCCAGCGCGTTGAGGAAATATAGATATAAATTGAAGCGTCATTTTGAGGACTATCTTCCGATTGAGAATGCATGCCGCCATCCTTACAATGGTATTGGTAATGCTGTTTGGCAAAAGTTGTGTGATACGTGGATTTGACAAAAAATTCAAGTTCAATTTCTTAATTACTTGTTTTTTATTATTTAATATAATAACTTTATTCACTAACTATTGGGGTTTCCTAACTTGTAATATTGTTTGAATTATTACTTACGAAATAAGTGAAAAAAACAAAGAAAATCATTCCAAGAATGAGGTTCCACATTATTCTAGATCGATGTCCTTCGTCAGACGTTTCGATGCTTATGTACGTAATATATGAAACAATAATTATAATTTTTTTATTTTATATTCTACGTTCAAAACCATATATTTGTCTAATGGTCACTATTACTTTGTCCTGCAAGTTAAACTCAAAGAAAGACATAGCCAAGAAGATGAGGACGGTGAAAGGGATGAGGATCATGCTATTCGCTTGTACAAGGACACACATTTTAAGGAACAAGGTGGATGGACAGACGAGAAAACTAAGAGGAATTTTGTAAGTTAACTATAAGCTAGCATGTTAGATTATGAAATTTGGATCTTATAATATTTTTGCGGTTTATAGGGGGTTACATACCTTTAAGTGACTGGTTGTTGTCGTCAACCCAATCCAAAGTTTATGCATCAAAAGATAGTGGTGTAGGGCTATGATGAATGTGGCCAAGTTTTACATTTAGAAATTGCCACTACTACATGTCACTAAAAATATAGTTAGGGCGAGTAGGGATCGTCCCAAGGGATTGGTGGGTCGTATTAGGTTGTGGAATCGAGATTGGGGTTAGTAGGTCGATTGATCAAAAGATTGGTTGGTGGTTGAATTACACTAAGATGCAATTTAAACTAAAGTAGGCAATTAAATGTAATAGAGAGAAAATAAGAGAGAGATCTTGGGGTTTAGAGATCACTACTAGGCATAGCTTTTCTACACCCTTAATGAATGATTAATGAGGGGGAAAACATGTATTGTAACATAATGTGTGTGTATGGTTGTTTCTGTTACCCAAGTATTGACTCTAGAGGGGGGGTGAATAGAGTCAATGACAAACAATGGATAATTTTTGCAATATAGAAAAACAATTTCAAGCAAAGTACTTAACACAATTGTGCAATTATAAAGATATGAAATAAGTAATTAAATAGCACAATTATAAGAGAGATAAGGGAAGAGAAATTGCAAACATTGACTCAGCGATTTTAGGGAGGTTCAGAAACTCCTACTCCTCGGCTCAAGACTCCTCTTGAGACTTCCCAATCCACTATGGCTTCTCCTTACGGGTGGAGAGCAAACCTTTACATGAAGCAAGACCTTGCTTCTTTTCCTTGCTAAGGGAACACCTTTCTCCTAGGCTTCTTTTGGGTTACACTAACCCTTACAAGTTTGTAGAAAAGATTGTAATTGAAATACAAGATTGAATCTCTCTCAAGATAGATATAGAAGTGTAAGCTTACAATAAATATCTCTTAAAGATTGATGTACAAACTTTAGTTCTCAACTAGAGTATATATGAATATAAGTGAAGCTCAAACTCTATAAATGATATGAATGAGAGAAGATGATATAAGTGAAGAACAAAAGCTCTAATAAACTCAATAAGATCTCTCAAGTGAAGAATAGAACAAAAGCTCTATGAAGATTCGAATTAGAGCAAAAGCCCTTTGAATCCTTAGTTAAATCTCTCAAGATTTGTATATGAGTGAATGAGAGAGATGAAGAGAAGATTGAGAACAAAAGCTCTCTTTAATGTAATGTGAAGGCTTTCAAATGATGTCTCTTAGTTATTAAGACATTCCCCACTCTATTTATAGAGTTTCCAAGCTCAATATAGCTGTTGGGAGTGGAAAGAAAATAGCCGTTGCAGTTTGAAATCTGCAGATCTGCGACCAAACCGGTCGATATGTGGTTAAACCGGTTGACATCTTCGCTTGAACCGGTTGATGTGTATTGCAAACCAGTCAACATCTCTTGCAAACTAGTCGACATCTACTGAGCTCCATTTGGACATTTGCTACTACCTAGATACCGGTCGACATGTGTGTTAAACCGGTTGACATGTGCGAGCTTCAGCTTGGATTTTTGCCACTGCCTAGATACCGATCGACATGTGTATTAAACTAGTCGACATTTTCTGGTGCATTGGCAGTTTTGACACATGACAGGTTTATGCTTAGGACTTTCAGTGCAGGACATCTGCACACAGCTTATTTCCATTGAAAACATTAAAGTAAATGTCTTTACTTTAATTTATATGTCCATTTACTTTAATGTTTTCAATGGAAATAAGGAAGTACCCCCCATTTAGATTCAATAAAAAATACTATAAAATTGAAATCCAACTAAATCAAAATGTAGAAATTCAGTTTTAATACAAATTTGGATTTCTGACAGTTTTCGTAAAAATGAATCCTTGTGTAGACCAATGTAGAATTGATGAAAAAATCCCATAAAATCAGTTTAGGCTATTTGAAGTATAAAGAGTTATTACCGGGAAAAATTATTTTGAAATAATCATTATTTCAAAAATTCATTTTTCACACTTAGCCATTTTTCATACTTGGCCAGAAAGACAGTTTTTCATCAAGTGCATACTAGGGTCCTAATGTCCTTTACTAAGGATTTAGAGATGAGTAATTAAGTTCTAAGCCTTAGAATCTACTTTCTATAGACCAAAGTGAATGATATAATTGATGTGCATGGTCCTAGCATTTTAGCTCAAGTGTTGAGTTCTTTTCAAAGCTTATGCAAGCTTGAACTAACACACTCTTTAGCAAAGACTTCATGTGACAATTATATATGAGTGAAGTGCATAGTCTATTGCTAATGGATATAGGAGCATATGAATGATGATATGATATGCATGGTCCTATAGAGATGAGCTTCAAATGGATTCATAGATACTTTGACATTGAATCCTAAACACTCACCATCCTATCTACCCTTTTCTTCAAGCTTTGTTCATGATCTTTAGGCTTTGAGGTAGTCTTGCTTTCTTCCTTCCTTTGAGTTGCTTTCTTGCTCATTGTAGTCTAAGCTATCTTTCTTTGCAACTTCAACTCTTTTTTGTATCCATTTCTTTCCTTGATGTGATCTTGAATAATGGAATACTTGGAATGGTCTTTATGATCTTCATTGAGGTTCTTCTTTGAATATAAGTCATCTATAACACTCAATGTGAACATTAGTCCTTAAACACCATTAATGGTTTGTTATCATCAAAACAACTAGATTGTCGTTGGATGAAATCTTTAAGGTCAATAGTTTCAACAAACATGGATGACAAATTAAGTATATATTGTTTAAGCAACATGGTGGATAGCACAATAGATCAAACTAAGCCATTAATCCTTTCTTTAAGCTCACAATCCAAACACATCATAAGGTTTGAGATATATGCTACTTGCTTTCATAAGTATGGAACATCAAACAACAAGCATGGATTGTCCTCCCATTTAACATTTAAACTACAACTACACTACAATTAAGCTAATGACATGAAATTAAACTAATGAAACTAAGAGAGAGGCACAATCCATCAAGAAATGAGTATGAACCATCAAATAAACCACAAGAGAATTCCGTTAAGCACTATATCTTGGCAATCTCTAGATCTATAGCATTAATACACATAGACATGCATCAATAACACAACAAATAGAGACAAACACATGAACATCTATTCTAGCATACATAGACATATGGATAGAATAAAATGATCAATTGGAAGCATTAAATCACACAAATCATTGAATAAATAAGATATATATATATAAAAGTGTCAAAACATGTATCACAATATAAATCCCCTTAAAAATACATAAATCAAGATGAAGAAAGTATGCTTAGGGCTAACTCTAGCCCCAAGAGGATGTCTAGCCACTCATGGATGGTGTCCTCCAACCCTCAAGGGCTAACTCCATGGTAGAGATTGCTCCTCTTCTTGGTTGATGGAAGAACTCCATGCTTGTGTCTCTAGCCTCTCCTTTCTTTTTTTCCTCACTAAAAATATGGAAATTGTGTCTCTAGTGTATGTATCTAGTATGTGTCAAGAATGGCTCATATTCCTTATATAAGTAGGTTAAATATCACCCCCAATGAGCTAAGCTTGTACACCAATATTCCTTCCAATGATTGGATATGAGACAACTTTTAATGAGCTAGAAATTGGATTTTCTCGAGCTTTAGGAAGTTCGATCGATCGAACTTGTGGTGAGATCGATCGAACATGGCTGAGATCCATCGAATTAAAGCTGGATCGATCCTCTATGGCGGTGCCTTTTTGGATAACAACAAATCTGAGATATTTTGAAGATATTTTTGGGAAAGAGACAAATGTGGAAGGTAGGGTGGTACAACTGGATAAGATGGAATCTTTTCGATCGATCGGAAGAAAGTTGGATCGATCGAACTTTGTGGGATCTTTGGATAAGGACAACAGAGCTTGGATCCATCTTGAAATACTGAGATCAATAAACTTTTGATCGATAGAATATTTTCTAAGATCGATCGAACTTGCTGAATTTCCACCACTTGCTTCCTTTTGCTCCCACTTTGCTCCTTTCTTTGATTCATCTCAAGATTGCTTCAATTATGCTCTTATTTAGCTGAGTTAGCTTATTTTAGGGATAAGTACCTGAAATTGGAAATAATACAAAATCAATCTAAAGCGTGAAAATAAGATAGATAACAGTTCTAGAATACCTAAGCTTAAGGGGTTTAAATGCGCACTTTTCAGCGCTCATCACACCCCCAAACTTAAATATTGCTAGTCCCTTGCAATGAACTAGAAAGTAAAAGAATGAAATGAACAACTATACAACTATGAACTAAAAAGCAATATATGGATAACGCCACTTTCGTAGGGAACAAGATTACATTTAGCATATGCAACAAGCCTTTTAAACCCCTAGGTTACCCCTAGTAGACGAGTGAAGTCTTGTGAGGGTTTCCA